AGAGAGAGAGGCCAGGGGTCAACCTGAGAAGAATCAGTTCTCTCCTACCATGTGGGTCCTGGGAATTGAACTTGGGCTACCAGTCTTGATGGTAAGTGTTATTATCTGTGGAGCCATTATACGAGCCCTGCTTCTTTGGTTTTTGAGACAGGGTCTCTCTCTCTCTGACTCAGTTTGACCTGGAAATGCAACCTGTCACAGCAATCCTTTGCCTCAGCCTCTTGAGCCCTTGGAATTATGAGGATTTGAGCCACCGTGACCACCAGCCAGACTTAGATTTGGGTTCCACCCCTACCATGCTGAGTGACCTTGGCCTCTATATCTTCATAATTAAATGGGTACAATCAGTATGGCCTAGATCTGCCGAGAATCAAAGGATATAACGTGCTGAAGTACCTAGACAGACAGAGTGCCCCGCACATGGAGGTTTTCCATGTTGGAAAGCCCCTAAGTAGTCTGACCACTGTGGCTCACTGCCCACAGGACTGGCGGGCAGCATGGCGTAGTGCTGGCACTGTGCCGGTTACTGCAGGTAGTGACAGGGACAACCTGAAAACATAGAAAGAGCCTAGGGGTGGTCTTTGTTTGTCCAAGGGCTATGTCTCCAGAATCCAGACATCCCCAGCTCTGACTAGGCCCAAGCCCTCCTTCAAGGCAGACCTCTGTCCTCAGCCCCTGTCTCAGGTAGTCTGCCCCAGTGGGTGGGAGCAGCTTCGCAGAGGATCCAGAAGATGTCTCTCCCCAACGGTTTCTACTGGTGACAGGATGCTGCGCGGCAGCCATCTCCCAGGCATCACCACATGAGATTGTTAAGTCTCCTGGAGGCACAGAGTCCCTCAGAGCATGAAGCCCGCCAGATGCAGAATTGTGAGGTCACAGGACTCCTTTGCACAAACCCAGCACACACATCTGCATAGCACACATCTGCATAGCATTGCACAGTGGTTTGCATACATTTGTCTCCAAATCCACAGCCCCGCCAGCCCTCCCTCACACCGCTCTTTTTCCTCCTCTGTAAAAACCAAATATTGAAGCTGTAGCGTTGAAGCCTCTAAACCCCATCCCATTCATTTCAGGGTGGTTTGAAGGCCTGATGCGGGGAGCAGCCTGGGTCAGGGGCTTCTACACAGACATGTGGACAATAGACTCCTGTTCCTAGGGAACTCACAGTCTAAAGCAGGGAAGAAAACATATGTCTGAGATCCAGGAAAGAGATTCTGATAGGGTATACTGACTGAAGGGTACAGTAGAAATATGTCGGGGGAATGGCGGTGTTCGGGGTGGGCGTTCAGAATGAACCAGAGGAGCAGGAGCTGTGCGTGACCTTCAGTGTCCTCAGAGTTGGCTGCTGTTGTGAAGAGGTAGGGCTGTGATATTAGCTCCCTTGGTCCAGTGGCTCTCTTTGGAGCAGGCTCCACGAATGCTTACCTTCCCTCATACACGTGGCCAGCTCCAGATTGGGCCCTGTGTGGGGCCTATGGTGCTCTCCATGCCCACAAGAACTTGTGTAGGCAGCCGTGAGGGCCCCATCCAATGCCAGCCCATTTGGATGGTGTAGATGAGGGAACAGAGGGGCTGCTTGAAGGCTTAGGAGTCTCCTCCAGAAGGGAAGGGTCTGGGGTCATGAGCTCTCCAGGCTCTCAGGTTGTAGCTAGGTCAATACACTCTACCGCAGGTAGTGGGAGCCACTGTGTCAGGCTGTGGAGCAGGACCAGTCAGGAGCTGGCGGAGCCGCTGACTGCTGGGTTCAAATCCTGACTCGGTTGACAACCAGCTGTGTGCTTTCAGAGACGCCAGTTGATTTCTCAACCCAGGTTTCCTCACCTGGGGAGTGAGCAAAGATGGGCAGTTTCCTTGGGGAAACTGACTCACCTGGCAGTGTGGTGATATGCAACAAATGTCTGTGCTGGGTGGGGCAGGGGGAGGAGGCATGGGAATGGTTTACTGAAGGCTTCATGAGAATAGACCAGCCTGGCTGGAACAGGGGAGGCTGTCCAGGGAGGAGGGGGCAAGAAATCTTGAGTCTGGCTGTGGAGTCCCGGTGCCCTGACATCGGCTCCAGTGTCTTCCATCATTTCAGGGATGATGGTGTGGAAGATGTGTTCACAGTTTCCCGTAGCTTGGGAAGCTCACGCAAGTGCAGAGAGCCTGGCCATTCTGCCCCCCATCGGATCCCTAGTCTTCTAATTGTGAGCCCTGTATGCCATCATTAACCATGACCACACTTTGGGATGAATGGCATGATCAGATTTGGAGTGGCCCGCCTGGACACTTGAAAGCAAATGCCTCAAGTTTGATTTCACTTTCTTTAGGTTCTTTAAAAAAAAACAATTCTAACAGGGATAGGCATTTGATATCTCCATATTGTTGTCAAAAGTTTTCTCAGACCCGAGGACCAAAGCAAGAAAGTCGAGGGACAGTGGGAAGACTAGGTTATGATGGAATGGGTCAGGGGTGCTGAAGAAGAGCAGGTCGAGATGAGGAGCAACTAAGGTATGTGCAGACAACCAGAGACCCCAAAGTAAGAAAAAAGTATACATAGGAGATACATACCTAGACATTTGTTCTTCTGTTTACAGGCCTGCAAACTATCTTCCACAAAGCCCAGAGAGTGGCAGGCTCCCCTCAGGTTTTTTAGAATGTTTTCTAATGATGGATTGTCCAGGAGTCTACTTTGAGACAAAGCACACAATCCCTCCTTACATATATATATATTTGTTTATCTATCTATGTATGTGTCTATGTATCTATCCATCCATCCATCCATCCATCCGTCCGTCCATCCATCTATCTATCTATCTATCTATCTATCTATCTATCTATCTATCTATCTATCTATCATCTGTTGTGGGATGGTGCTTCTGTATGCTGTGAATGTGTGTTGCCCTCATTGGTTGATAATATACCTGTTTTGGCCTATGGTAAAACAGGATAAGGTTAGGTGGAAGAATCAAACTAGGACTCAGAGGAAGAGGGGTGGAGTCAAGGCAGATGCTGCCAGTCACCCAAGAAGCAGGATGCTGGAGGACCGGTAAGCCAGACCATGTGGCAATAAATAGATGAGTAGGAATGAGTTAATTTAAATGTAAGAGCTAGTTAATAATAAGCCCGAACTATTGGCCAAACATTTATAATTAATATAAGCCTCTGTGTGATCATTTGGGAAGTGGCTGCTGGGTATTTGGAAGTTGCTGGTGGGACAGAAACTTCTGTTTACAACCATCTATAGTTAGCAGGGTCTTGTATATCACTATATATCACTATGAAGCTAAGGGTGATCTTGAACTTTTTTTTTTTTTATTTTTAACAATTTTTCTTTCCTGTGTGTGAGCATCTTGTCTGCATGTATGCCTACGTTCTGTGTGCATGCAGTGCCTGAGGAGGCTAGAGGAGGGTCTGATTCTCTGCAACTGGAGTTAAGGATGGTTGTGAACCACTGTGTGGGTGCTGGAAACCGAGCTCGGGTCTTCTGCAAGAGCAGCAAGTGCTCTTGACTGCTTCTCCACCTGGCCAGCCCCAATCTTGAACTTCCTTTTGTCTCCACCTCCCGAGTGCTGGAACTACAGCATGCACCCCATGTCTGGTTTGTGTGGTGCTGGGGACCGAACCCAAGTCTCCATGCATCCATGCATCCCAGGCGAGTTCTCCACCAGCTGAGTCACACCCCCCAACCCTGCTTTACATCTTTGTATTCAAACACATTCGGGCACATTGAGTTTGGCTGTCACTTGGAACAAAAAAGACAGGCCTAGGGCTCAGTCTTGTCTTTGTTCCACAGCTGTAGGCAGGGAAAAAAGGGGAGGGGGAGGGGAGCAGACAGTGTGTTCTGAAACTGGCTACCACCGTGGCTCCTAATCCCAAGACTCCAGGTCGATGCAGGAGACCCACTGAAGGGACTTGACTAGGTCCTTGCCTGCACTTCCGGCTGCCCCTCCCTGGTGAAGCCACTCAGCTTTTCTAGGCTGACTTGCTCTAGGCCTTACCTCTCCTGCGATCTGTTCCTTCACCCAGAACTCCTTTCTATTTGGATTAGAGACTTTGTGACTTGGGCCCACGTCACTGCACATCTGGCTAGGTTGTCATTCATGTGTCTATGCCCGAGTAACCACAGACCAAGGCATCACATATTTCAAGACACCCCCCCTTGTGCTTCTCTCCAGAGAAGACCACCCCCAGAGTCTGACTTTTACCATCATAGGTTGTTGACCTTCATACAAATGGTATCAGATGGCGGCTTTGTGTGTGGTTTATTTTATTCGACATAATGCCTTGGAGACTCTCTCGTGCTGATGTTTTTTGTTGTTTTAATCACCATGCCGTGTTCCAGAATATGAGCGCATCTTCACAGTTGGTTTAACCACCCACTGTGCACAGGTATTGGGGTTGT